AATTAAAAAATAATAATATTGAAAAAATTATCTTTCTTATGCGCTTTGATCATTCCGTATTAAACAAACCCATTTCAAATTATATTTTAACATCACAAAGAAACGAGAAGAAGCCGAGCCTCTGTATTAGAGTAGATTTAGAGCTGTTTGCTACAAACATGTATATTACCTTTTTATCTGTTCACCTGTACTTAGCCCAGTAGGGCAGGAATGTACAATAAAGGTTATTATTATTATTAATTGAGATATACACACATCTACAGGGGCAAGTGTTGGTGATGATTTCATGCTTTGTCGCCTCATTTCTTGTTTAACAAGGTTTATAATCTCATAAATTGAAAATTTCGGAATTTTTTTTTCTTTGCTCACCTATTTTTTCGCCCTATCTTATAATATTTGGAGTCTGGGAAGGAATACCCATAAAATTTTCTTGCTGTGGCCTAACTGAAAATTACATTTTTATCATGAAATTTTAATTACCTCAGGTAAACAGATAGTATTTCATGTGGGACCATGTACTAATGTATTAGAGGAGGGGGTGAGATAAGACAGGAATTTCCTGTACTTGAAGAAAGACCATTACATCCCACACCTGTTTATTATGTCAAGCGACTTGTACAGTGCTTTATTCAGATATTGTCCATTAGTGATGTGCATAAACATACCACTTATCTTTGGGGATTCCAATATTCTAACAACACTGAAATACTTCTAAGCTATTACCAGATGGTTATAAACCTCCATAAAGCAAAAACAATTACTACATGCTACCACATGGTATTATTGATGTAAATAAAGCTCACATTATTTTGAAAAAAATCAGCAGTGATAATTTATGTCGTTGATAATTTCTTCAATACTTTGCTGATAGAGTTTCAAACTTTACTTGTACATACTTAACAAAGAATGACAAATCCCTCACACCATGTTCTTGATTGCGCCATGTTACAAACATCCATGATAGGCTTAAACACTCTAGTTTTAGTTATCTTTCCGAAATTGTAAGCCACCAAACAATGCCTTTGCAAATAAGCAACCCACTGTTAAAATGTACATATTAGCTTAAAGTAATGATAAATCTCTTAGAAAAACTAGTATACCTTTGTAGGATATATGGATTCTATGAACATATGACACCAATAACATCGTAATTCAACAGCTCTTGTAAATAGTAAAAAAATGATACGTATCATTCAATAAAAAAGACATTTTAACAACAAATACTTTTGATGATAGGGATATTTTTTAAATAACCCTTAAGTCTTGAATTCTTCCTCCAATGACATCACGGTGATTATGGTAGCTGGCACAACGGCTTGCTCTTTTGAGCAGTAAACAAAAGCGATCATTAATTGTATGTATTCACAACAATTCTGTATTGTTTGCTTCCCAAAATATTATTAACGAGTAACGGCGCTAGTTTCATATCTCGCATATATACATAGAGAGAGAGCGAGAGTTTCAAACTTTATATATATCATATATATAATATATATATATATATATAGAGAGAGA